TGCGTCTAATTATGATTTCTATAAAGCGCATGCGTAAAAACTTTCTCCTCACTGCATTAAAAAAGACCAATCAGAAACGAGTACAGCGAATCCTGTTAAAAATCTACTCCTTACTTTTGTCCAATCAGAGATCTAGCACTGTATCCAAGCTACCAAGAGGACAAGCGAGCCTAGTTGGAAGTGTTCCTAGACAACACAAGATAGGTGTATTAATCCGACTGTATCAATCGAAACGATTCAAGCGCAGTCTGCAACTTTGATCCCCGCACAGCTTTTCAACACCAAGGGCGCTGTTGACAAATCAAGCGATTTCTGTCTTTCAAATTTACCAAAACGTATGGACCGAATCACGTCATGATGCGAGACGTCAATCCAAACTTGATCCCGGCAGCAGAATGCACACCGCAATGCGAATTCACATGCGCCCGAAGGTTGACAAGCGTCGCTCAAGCCGGCAACAACCCTCTTGATCTTCCTCCTAGTAAAAAAAAAATCTGTCAGTTAGCTCGTAACGTGTCTGGGCCCCAGCAGAAACACTGCTCTCGTCGAGAGGATACTTTTACCGGGGAATACATTTTGGGGAGAATATTCGGTGACAGACGGTCACATTACGGCGGCCTTAGGTTAAAAGCTGAGTAAAGAGACGCGGCATGTTTCCCAATGCCTGCAATGCCCCTCGACGCCAACAACATTCGCCAAGTATAAGTCCTGCATTAAACAGGGGTGTTTTCCGGCTAGACATGCAAGGTGCATGTACATTTTCGCTCGAGCCCCAGTGTTCGGAGTTGCAGTCGCTCGACAGTGTTTTCCATTGTACACGCGTCTCAATTGTGTTCCGAGTTTCAGATCCTGCGATGCAAATGCGACGACGGCTCGGTTGGGTATTTTGAATCCGGGACATATTTCTGAGGACAAACGACGATTAATGCATCCATTTGATAGGTTTTTACAAATGGCGATTGATGACAGATACCGCCGCACACATTCTGGCGAAATGTGCTGGAGATGTTATGACTGTGGATGTAAAATAAAGCAGGGAACACAACGATGACACGACTGACGCTGCAATATGCGACACTCGACAACGCAAGACAGTCCATAGCGAGGCACACGAATCCCGCAATACGGGTGATTCACAATAGTGCGCATCCAAGAGTTTGCAACGCGTCGACCAATCACAACGCGCGACATTTGTCGATCCTTTCCAAACGCGCAATGGGTCGACAGATTTCGCGCATTGTGATTGGCCAACGCGTTGCAAACTCTGGGAAGCGCACTATTGTAAAACGCATGTGTTATTTTCCGTCAGTATCCTAAGAAATCTCACAAAAGCCGCGCTATCCCATCAACCCGTCGGACTTATTTCCTCATCACATTTAATGTAATAGCACACGCTGTCCATTGTTAACTGCGTTAAAGTCTTTTTAAGTTTCACACTGTTCTATAAGGTATCGCTTTTGCATTGATTTCCAATGGGTCTCGAGCTGGACCAAGAGAGAGTAACGGCGGCTACTTTGGTCGGAACTGAACTTCCCTGGTTCACGAACGACTAGGAAACGCACGCGATACGGTTGCATCGCTACCAACAAAATTAACACTCCAGGCCCATTTGGGCCGTTTCCAATACTCAACTTCGGCCCCGTCTCAGGCTTCAACTGTTTTTTTACTAGCTGACTTTGAAGCTGTAAGCGCAGTAATCAGTCTAATAGTGCCACAGAACATCAAATAAGATGCAACAAAGCCAAAAATTACAGTAATTCAATTTAATTTAAACGCTTCAGGCCCACACTCGGGGATTGGTTTTGGGAACGAAGCCTGAGACGGAGACGAATTGAGTACTGGAAAACGGCCTTGGACTCTTCTCTACCGATGAGGGGTGCTTCTGCTTGAGGCGAAGAGGATGTCCAACAAGTAAACTACAGACTATTCAAGCTGACAGTGTAAGCTACAGTTATTAGATATTAAGGGTGTTATATTGAGATGTTGAGTTACAACATTCCACTGATCATGTCGAGTTGGCATATCGCAAAGATACCCGTCAGTTTCCCTTTAAAACTCAATTTTCTCCGCCATCAAGGCGTCAGAACGCGAACCACGATGATGTGCCGCGGGAGCCGGGCTGATACGCTCCAGCACGCCCGCTCCACGCTCTTGATAGACAGATTCAGGACCCCCATCCATAACGAACGTGCGCAATAGGCCCCGAATTGACAAATTGTTTCCAATTTGCGCACGAGTGTGTGTGTGGGGGGGGGGTCTGAAGTGGCTGACGCGTGGAACCAAGGGGACAGAATCGAATTGCAATAAAGTTTGATTACTTCCAGTAGCGCGAATGACGATAAAGGAGAGAACTGTGTGTCAAAATGAAATCACGACCGACACAGAATAGGAATAACATGGATACTATCGAGAAAGGGCATCAACTTATCCTGAAAGCGTTCACTCGGGTACAAGAAAAAAGGTCAGCGTTTCCAGACGGAGGTAGGTTGCTTTCTGTCAAGTTGGCACACGAGAACGTATACATGTGCTGAATTAATGATGTCACTCCACGGCCGACTCCAACTTGTAACGAAAATGCGTGGAACAGTCAACGCACTGTACCCACAGCATACACGCTCTATAAAGGCCTTTCAGCTGCCAACTACAGGGGGGTTACACGGCTGCTATCTTGCAGAGCAGTGTCGTCGTTCCGCAGGGTAGGCACCAAGGAAGTTTCCCCATGGAACGCAAGAACTGCCCTGCAAGATGGCTACCACGCGAAGCCTCTAATTGGCAGCAGCGTGTAACACGGGATCCAAAGTACAGGGAGAATTTGAGGCGTCGGTTTTCAATTTTCCGTAGCAGCAATAATACGCGTTTGATTATATCTCATTTTTCTGAATGGGGCACCGTTGGGTTAGGGTGAGGGTATATATGTCGAGCGTCCCTGTCCCAACTCGTACCACTAATATCCTGGACCTCAACAGTACGAAAGCGAATTTTACAACAAAAGTGTACGGGGCAGCTTTCTGCGGTGACATGATTATAGAGTACCAGACAGACCCTTGCCAAATCTCCTGTGGGCCAAAATGCCTGCAGGCCAACAAGCCAAGACTTGCTTTTTATGAGTAAAGACTACACGGCGAATCGTTCATTCGCTTAGGCACGATCTGACCAATTATTTCCCAGAACCTATTTATAATTATGAAGAAATGCACGTGTTAAGAAAATAAGCAAAAGTCACACCTCTCGTTTCTCACGCGCCGAAAGTGAAAGACGTAACATTCCTTCCGACTGCATATACCTCCCAGGCTTATTAATCTTGTGGGGGCTCGCGGGAGCTCTCTCCTACGGACGGCAAAGACAGTGAGCGCTGGGCCGGGAGGACACAGTGGGTTGTTTGGCTGAGAAGCACAGGCGAGCCAAGTGGGTCAACTCATGTTGGATCAACATTTCTGGGATATGCCAGATGGTTTTGTGACAGCAGATGGAATGAGAGGTTTTGGTATCCGTGCACGAGTCACTTTTCGGTGACTTGCGGGAGAACTGTGGAATCTATACCTTCTGCAAAAAAAGAACTCAAACAAAACCAAAACCATCGAAGTTTCTTGCCAAACGAATGGAGAAACAATCAACTCCCATTCAAACTCGAGCACAGCCATAATTTCGGTTTCTTGATTTTAACGCCGGAATTCAAATAAAAGACGATTCTTGGGTTCGCATCTTCACATGGACAGTTATCAGGTGATGCGCTGTTATCGCACCTAAGTTCATCTCATCATCAAAGAATTATCCGCCCTAAGCAAAAGTACCCCCTCATCGGATGAAAAGAGTCATATTGGTCAGGGTGTTCCTTTAAGTTTTGTGAGCAGTATAAATGCGACTGCAACGCTTACGTTTCATGGTCGTTCGTGAACCAGCGATGCGCAGTTCGTACCAGAGGAACCTCCGTTGCTAGCAAAATGGCGCCCTCTCTTGGTCCAGCTCGGGGCCTTGAGGGAAACTGTCTTCATTCAACGAGATGTGCCTTAGACACTCGAAAGTACTCGTCCCAACGCCCTTCCAGGGCGCTCGGATGAGTAAAGCGCAATTGCCGCAAAGTACTGTGGGCTACTTGATTTCTTAACCACCGTGCGTGAGTGCAGCGTGCAGGTATCAGGCGCACACGGAATTAGTGTGGATCTGCACATTAAAACACATCATACAAATTCTATCCAATGACAGCTCATCCCACCCTCCTGTACATGGTAAAGTTTGTGCCATGTTGTCTACGTAATTCGACGAGAATCGACTTATTCGTATCAACGTCAGATAGTGTTTGGCGTGAAACCGAAGCCCGTTGCGTCTGCTTGTGTACATGTATGTGCTGGATTTTTTTAAATGGTCCTCCAAATTTAATAACTGTTTTGGAAGTCGGTCGCTGTTGACCCGACACGGGAGCCCTTTTTTACCACGTACATGTACTTTGTACATTCTGCTTGGAGATTTGGGAAGCTATCCACCCGTCTTATTAAGGGCTGCGACGGCAGTCCGACTGAAGAGAGTTCATTCCGGGGTCGAATTCCGTGATTCTAGATATATCCAACCGGTATTTGGATAACGATCTGCCTCAGCCGTCATTGCGCACGGAATGGGCACAGCATGTTGTTTATTATTCGAATAAACGTAATTATGCCCTGCGTATAATTTATGCAAATATCAAAGTACAATGTACATAGGCAGGCACGCACTCATGACAAAAAGCTTGTGGACAGTTGTAGGACATTCACTAAAATGATTGTATGCTCCCAGGCCGTTCCTCGAGCCGAATCGACGAGATAGGGCCGAGGTTTACAACATCTGCGGGAAAGGGCTGCTGCCCGTAATTCGTAACTGCCATGAGCGTGCGTGTTTTAGTAGCCACTGCCGTTAAAAAACGCACAAAGCCCCTCACAACTTGTTCGCCAACAACCCACCCAAACAATGAGTCATCTCAACAGTGAACCTCCCCTGCAAAAACGAATTCGAACAGACACAAAAAATGTAACCATGAAGAATCCAGTTGTTTTTATTAAATCATTTTAAATAAACATGTATATTACGGAATTTATAATGGACGGAAATTGGCAGTGTTTCTAAATGTTTAATCAAAAATGGAATGAAAAAAATCTTCAAATAAAGCTTTTTTCAATGAAAAGGGGGGGGGTGTTGTACAAATAAGTGCCGATAGTTTGCGTGCCTTCTCTCCACTGGACACAATGCAGATGGTGTTGGTAAGCCTACCTTTGCTTCTACACAGAAAAGCACTTGCTAAGTTCTGTAGTGACACTGACAACAGAAAAGGCATCAACGCGTTTTATTTTAACACATGAGGTTTCCCATCAAAAGGGTCTATCTTGAAGGGTTGAACTGACAAGGCAGCCTTAAGTACAGTAAAATGGAAGGACTTTTATTCCAGGTAAAAAGAACGCTCTCTCTGGAACAGACCTGCCAGTAACAGCGATAGCCATTACATTACCACCAGCGACAGAGACCTCATTTCTGCCAGTGGCAACCTGTACTTCGACTCAAGGGCAGCTTGGGATTTCACTGTATTGAGAACTGCGTGTCCCCTCGCTGCCTAGCCAGCTCTGTGTAATAGCCAGTCCCTCCGGACTTATGTGGCTGAGGTTTATGTATGCTGTTGCATCCACAGGGGATGTGGATGCACGACCGGCGCCTTGCCCAAACAAAACGTAGCTGGAAAGGGCCAATTCTTGGTGGTGACTGGTGTAACGGCCGTAATGGCATCCTCTACTTGTTTATGCGCCTCTATTTCCAACACGGGCCCCGAATGCACTTAGCGAAAGCGACGATGTACGACAAGAACGATCCGCACGGCTGACTGAATCAGGGGCCGGAGGAATAAAGGGCCCGTCTATCGTGCGCGCCGGTCCAAAAATAGTCGATATGGACCAGCTCTGGGGGAACGGGTGACGGCGCAAGTCACAAATTAACTCCGGTGCCACATTTCCTCGTTTTCTTTTAATGAACCCCCCCAGGGGGGAGGGTGGCAAGAGTTACAATGGGAAATCAACTGCTGATTATTAGACGGGCGAGTGCGGTGCCGTGAGGATAGCCGGCCGGTGCTTTTATAACTGATATGCATGGTAGCTTCCCCTAAGGCCAATGGGGCCAAAGAATTGCCCTTCTCCACCGCCGGTGGTTAATAACGGGGGCATGGTCCATTTGCCGGGTATCAGCACTGCTACGTGGCCAACTCCATGTCCCCCATGTTACCGTGTACTGGGGACGCACGGCACAGGGCTGGCAGAAAACTAAAAGGACAAGATGCTGGTTAATGATCGACAGCAAACTGCGACGGCTCGCCGTGCTCTGCTCTGATCGATCGGTCGCTGTTGGAATATGATTGCTTCAACTGAGGCATGAGCCACAAATCAGCTTAGTCTCAAAGAAGTACATCGGTTACAATTACTTGGCCCATCCGTGGCAATGACAAAAAATGGAACCCTGTTTTGTACGGACAGCAAAATGGATTGGAGTTGAATTGATGGTTGGTATTACAAATGCTAATACAAACTGGAGCAATTTCACCTATTGAACTCTTTTTATTATAATTTTTATTCTTTTTTTTTGAGGGGTGGGTGGGAGGTTTGAGGCACCTGGCAGAGGCTTAATATAAAAATAGACAAGACTGGGTGGGTATTTTCTTTAGGGAAAGTGGTCACTGAGGGTTATTCAACCGTTCTAAGAATCACCTTCAGCCAACAAACCTCAGCTCATCCACATCAGCTAAGCCAAAACCGAATTAAACAGGGACCTGTATGACTCTACATCTCGTTAAGGACGGAATACGTAATCTGACAAATTTTTTTTATATAGAAACACCGGGAGTAAGACTTGTAGGGGAGGCTAGGCGGTGACCTTCCCGGTGCCCGGCTGCTTCAGGTTAAAGCCGCCTCCGGTGAATCGGGGACCCTCCGTCCGCTGCGGTTGGATGGGGGCAGAGCCGGCCTGCGCCAGGGCCCGTTCTCGATCTCTGTGGGGGAAAGGGGGCACAACACGGAGAACAAAAACACGCCAGATGAGTTCCAGCCTGCCGAGTATTGCTGACTGTCAACTGCACAAACTGGTATGGACAAATTTGAGAGGCGCGTCAAGTTTTTCAGCAAGATCTCAGAGAGGGGTAAGCAACAACAGCTAGGACGAATGTTTGGCACATCAGGGGTGGAGTTGGACAAAATGGCCAGCATGGAGTAGTACAATAACAGTACAATTATGTGACTTTCCAGAGCCGTAACAGGGCAAGAGTTCTCTTCTCAACAGTACACACTGAATGCCAATCCTCCACTTGTGTTCCCAAAGAGGGATTTAAAACCCAATTTTTTTGTTTTGGGGTATGGACAAAAATTAAACTGATTTTATGTAACCTTCTACGGCCTTTCTCAACGGTTAGGCTACAATTTGGGGCCTCCACAAGCTGTTTGCGGGATGGAAAAACACTAATAGACAAAAAAATAAAATCGCCTTTAATTATTTTAAAAAAGGTTCCTCTTTGGGCAGGACCCCACTGCCCCTGGATCCGCTCTTACGTTTTCTTCTGTACAAAAAAAAACAGAAAGTAGCAAAATGCCTCCATTGAAAAAAATGACCGGGGAAGGGGGAGAGCTTTGAAAATCTTGAAATCCAGTCAATCCTGAGAAATCATGCCACCAACACACCTACTAGATTCTTGCTAAGGGGCGCTGAGGTAAGATAAGGACATGGGGATAGTGAGGGCCCCCCCTCCCCAAGAACAAACTGGAAAGACACAACAAAAGAAAAAGAGAGAAACAAGAGGAGAGCGGATGAGAATCAAAAAGGTTGATTTAAAAAATACGTCAGCACTGGCCCCTTTTCTGCTGTTGATGGTTTTGCCACTTTATTTGCTGCTCAGTGCCTTGACTTCCCTCCCCGGGAGTATTTTTTTTTTTTGTGTAACGTTAAAAAAAAACCCACAAATCATACATCCCATGCACTCATGAACCTTCAACAGAGACGACTCCAAGAAAACATCTCCAACGAAAATAGCACCAATTTGTCCCTGTGCAAACCGGGGAGCAATAACAACCTCATCCTGGGTAACGATGTTCATGAAGTGCAAACAGGCCTGGGGTGAGGCAGAAAACTGGAGAAAATTCGCCTGCTGACCGTTTCCACCGATCCCATGCAGTGTACTTTTTTCCCCTGGCAATAAAACCAGATTCTGCGCTGTGGCCTCCCCGAGGGCTCCATATTGTTGACTTGGGTGCACAGGTCGATGGTCTTAATCTTCGGTAATATCAGGCCTAAAGTGCATGCGCACCAACATCCCCCTTCCAGATATGACCACGATGGCGATACATTACCGAAAATAAGTCGTGGGCAATTCAATTTGTATCTTAATGGCAATCTCGTCTATTACACTACAGGCTGGATTTTTTTTTCCATCACTTTTTCCCTTTTTTTTTTTTCAAGAGAGAGCCAAAAAAAAAATTACGCCACAGTGCACAGATTCCAATCTTAGCCAAAATACAATTATTTTGTCTTATGGCCTGCGGAAGGGGTCCGAATCCACGAAGTGAGCAATCTGATTCCGCTGATCGGAGCCTGGATCTTGCCGTGTCTTTGCAAAAGTACTGCACGCGTATATCAGTGGGGACCCCAGAGGGCTGGCTAGCTTGCTCGTTATTTCCCTCCCCCCCCACAAAAATTTTTCGAAGCTGCAGCAAGGGTCACTGGACGGGCACTTTCATGCGGCAAATTGAGTGACCTCTAGGCACTGTGAATTACACATACAGATGCGGTCATACAGGCCAAAGGAGAAAGAGAAAAGGACAGACAGAATTGCTTTAATGTACTAAAAAAAACAGTCACTACAAACAACCTCTTTCAAAGAAAAGGGTGAATTCAGACAACACACACAAACCGCTTCAACAAGGGGTTAAATTGACAGGAAGATTGAATTTTGGTTCCAAAGACAATTGCCCGGGCCGTACCTTCCTTGCTGCTCTTTGCGTTTCTGGGCGTAGTATTTTTTCTTGACTTCTTGCAGCTCCCGTGCCAGTCTCTCAATCTCATACTTGTACTCCTGCACTTGGGACTCGTACATGTTCAGCTCGGAAGCCATTCCCTAAAGAGAGAAGGGGGAAAAAAAAGGAACAGAACAAAACAAACCAAAAGTGAGCCTTCTTGCACAGTTTCCATCTCTCCTGCCCCCTTTCTCCGTCAAGTCCAATTTACACAGACTCTTAGAAGCCCATTCTTACATTAGCACCAGGCTTCTTTAAGTACCGTCATTCGAACAAACGCAAATACGAAAAAAATTAATCAGACTGTAGATCAGATTTCTATTTTATCTTTGCATTGCTTTTTTATAACGTGAGGTGGCAATATGGCCCCCCTCCCAAAAAAGCCTGAGGTGGTCGCTCACACTGGAACAGGCAAGCCAACCCAGCATGAATTGCTCTCAGGCTACTGTGTGGTCTGCCTCTACAGGAGGGTTTCTTAGCCGCATAGTTTGTGGAGGAAGGGGCGAAACGGGTGTCGGGAGGGGCGCAAGTATCACTACCTCAGCAGTCCTCATGGTGTTTTCATCTGTTCATTCTAATTTGCACGCAAATTGGAGAGAGAGCAAAAGGCAGCATTTCGGTGGAATTGGACGGAGATCAACGACCGGGAAATTACGCGCTCCTCTGTGCATATGCACCTGCAACTTTTCAACCAACCATGATGTATACTTTGATAAACTGAGCAATTTTTCCCTCTTTCATTTCCTGAGTGACGGCAGGTGATGGGATGTAAAGGGATAGGAGCCGGGGGCCCTGTGGATTATGGACAATGGCTGTTCAGCAGTCCGTCCATCCACTTGTTGGAAGTAATTTGAGATAAGTACAGAGTTACTTTGAGATTAGTAGCAGATAACTGTTATTGGAAAAGAGCATGAGACAATGAAAACCACCTGCATCCTCATGTCAATGAGCATGTGTGCAACACAGTCTGCTGGACAAAAACAATGTTTTTTAGGTCTCTTTGAGCAATTTGGTGCAGAACTTTTGGCCCGGGTGCATCAAGAAGTGCCAATTTGGCAAAACTAGCCTGTCTTGTACGATGTGCGCTACACAGCTCATGTTTCAACTAGTTCCATGAAAATTCCAATTTGTCAAAGAGTATGTGCTCTGAGACTGTCCAACATGATAGACAAAGCATTACCTGGGGGACCAAGATCTGGCAGAAAACATTAATTAGCAATATCTATTCAGCAGCCTAAGAAATATTCGAGTCTTGGGCCAGATAACAAAGCCTCCACAGTTCGGTGTGATTATCCCACTTCTAACCGTTTGTTGCTGACGGGGCACAATACAATGCCCCAGGGGATGAAATCCTCCCCGGTGTCGTAACGGATAGCATACCCATTGATTTGCTTGTGATAAGCGAGTTGATGGACCTCTCTGGCTCGGTTGAATAACCGGCAGTGGATTGGCACGATAAATGTCGCCCAATTGTGAGGTTTCCACCTTGGTTGCGTGTTAAAGCGGTGTTTTGTGGACACCGAAGCCGATCGGAAAGCGTATCGGGTGCTAAAGCGACCGCGCAAAAACAAGCGACATTTGAACCTAGTTATCCCACTCTGAAGCTGTCCAGCCAAATTTTGCGTCACAGGCAAAGTGTTGCCCACTACACTTGAAGCTGTCTGCTCTCATGTGACTCATTACCTCTCGGGCTCGACAGAAATCTGACGGCTCCAGTTACGCACCCTTTAAATATTCACGTTCGTGCCCTGGGAATAGGAGAGCACTGTCACTGGACTTACGCAAGTTACCATACGGCAGGCACGGAGGTGTGTGAGGGGGGGTCCAACAGAAAATTTGCATAATTTTGCAGACATGTACATGTAACTGAACTTGGCCTTGGAAGCTCGGGTATTAGCGAGAATCCTAATTGAATCTGTACTGCATAATTGCGTTTACCAGTCGTAACCCAACACAAAGGGGTCTCTCATGTCAAACCTCGTTCAGTGTCCTGAATTATCCTACACATCAAAGAACTGTACTGAATTTGATTAAAAGGCATCACATTACGCCAGCGCGGCATGTAGGCTTCTTGGGTCATTTAGACTCTGTAAATGTACGAAAGAAGGGCACTCCACAGGCAGTACGGCACAGTGGTACATGCCTGAAGTGTGTCCTCGCTGTTGAGGTGATGTGTACATCAGGGCATCCCATAATTACATGTGCATGACTACCCAGGATGCACTGTACATGTAATCCATGCCAGTCTGTGTACCAACAGCATGTCCTGCTGGCATGTAGAGGCAGCAGTACACGTCGTTTCATGAGTCGCTTTATGGGGCAAAGGGGCCGGATCAAACAAGGCCTTCATGGGCTAAAGCAGATTGACATTGATGATGTAGCTAGTGTGAACAAAGCCAAAAAGCGCACCTACATGCACGTGCGTCACAGAAAAATGAGCCCAGAGCTTGACTCCACTGGTATGTGGACATTCTTCAAAGTTGGTGTTGAGCCGTCCCAACAATTTCAAGGCGCTGCTTGGCACACAATGCATGTATTTCATGGAGACCATAAGCAGTAAGCACAGCCAAAGGCTGATGATCCTGGAGGAAATATTTGCTTGTAAAACTGAGTGACTGGCCAATAGAAATGTCTGTGCACGCGCAACCTTTATCAAAACCACACCAAGCACGACCATGAAATCGTGCTTCACATTGGTAAATTTTTCTGCTAAAGTTAGCGCAACTTTTCAGCTCACTGTTAAGCAGCTTCATGAAATTGGGCCTTGCCCTTCAGCTCGGTGCATCAAAACTGTTTCTACAAAATGGTGGGTTCATATCAAGCCTGTGGGATCAATGTTAGTCCGTCGCCAAGAAACATGCTACGCTGTGGATTGCTCAAACCCCTTCCCCCTTGGAATCAATGGACATCCTTCAGAAAAGATTCTCGAAAAGACTCAAGTTTTCTCCACTGAGAGCATCAAGCAGAGTGTATTCCACTGTACCCTAAGAGATGAGATGTTCTGGAAGCCTGATGAGGGGGATGAATGGGAGACTGTTCTTTAGGAGGAGAATCTATCCAAAAAACATCAGTTTAGTCACTGAGTAGTCAGACAGAAAAAAAATTCAAGTTACGTACACAAGATTCCCTATGGTGTTTTCCCACTTTGAAATGGCATAAGAGGTGAAGAAATAACAGGAAATTTGCTGCTTCAAAAAAAAAATGGTTGCAAGCCCGTGAAACTTCGTGCCAACTGAACTGTGACAATAATAAAATGAGGGAAAGGCAAGCAAATGTGAGGCAAAGGCTCTATAATGCCAGGCCCCCAGGGAGAACAACCAAAAAAAATTCAAGATGAGAGAAGGAGAATGCAACAGAAAAACACGGTCACTGATTCGCAATATCACAAACAGATCGGGGGAGGGGGGGGGGAACGGGGAGACAAACAGAAAGCAGATTCGATTGCCAACAGATCTCCATCTGGATGGCATTAGTGCGAGTGGCTGCCCAAAAGGGCAGGCAGCTAGCATGGCAGATTCCCTGGGAATTATTAGACCACAAACCGGGAAGCGGTGGCACTTATATTGGTAATCTGACATCAGCGATCGCCCTCCCCCCCCCAGGCCGCAGATGCGTCAGCGTGTCAACCACCCTGACAAGACATCAAGTTTTGTATCATTGAAGACTACCCTTCCTTCAGCACATCACATCATTATCCATCCCCCCCTCCCCTGCAAACCTCATCACCGATGCCGCCAACGGCACGAAAACCGGCAGCTTGGTCTCCCTCTATCTTCTCTCTGCCCTGCTCTTTTCCAAATAAACAAGAATCTCATCCTGCCGAGCTGGATTCCCCCCCTCCCTCCCTCCTCCCCCCAGAAGCTGTCACTGAATCAATAAAAAAGACGGGTGGATAAACTCTCCCCTCTACCGTCTTCCCCCCTCTTTATCACTTCCCACCTCCCTGGTCTGCTCAAACAAGCCTCCTTCTGCTCATTTTGGCAAATACCAAACAGAAAGACAAGTGAGAAGAATCCAACGCCTCAAAAACGACAGGGGTTTATCTCCTTCATCAATGATATTTCAGTTGAGCAGGATCATTTTGACGGATTGAAAAAAAAAAAATTAAAATATTAGAAAAGAAAGCCCGACTCTTTGACTTTGTTGGCTGGCAAGCAACCGCAGAGTGTCATCGTTGCCAGCGACGTGTTGACCTTTCCAATAATACCGCCATCGTGCCATTGCTCAAGAGGTCCCCGTACGATCCCTTCATCTGGACCACCAGTTTCAGATTTTCTCTTCATTCTCTGGACTTTTGACGGGCCGGAGAGACTCTTCATAAAGCCTCGGCCAAGATTTCTCTTCTTTCACTTGACACAAGCCCACTCAAGGTTTGTAAGGCTTGAGAACGGGTCTTGCCATCCAGGTTGGGTCAACAACAAGATGATGCTTCAATTTCATTTAGAAAAAAAAAAGGACGGAATGTTTACCCGTCTGTCTGTGGCAATCAAAGGATGACTCGTTGGATTTTGTTACAGTACCTTTGATGGATAACTTGCCTGTGATGTCGATGCTCTCAGCTATAACACTCAGCATGAATAACATGCACAGTGTGCAACTACATACATACATTTACAAGCACACAGTTTTCTTTCTCGGAACAGCACTCAATACAATCATTCCGGGCATCTCACTGGAATTCTGGAGTGAGTCAATTTTCATAGGATTTCCCGGGCACGCAACACTGGCAAGCTGTCCTGAACCAAATTAAGAGCCAGTCTGAGGGTCGGGTGTTTTCATTATGCCTGAAACTGTGTGACTGAAGGTCTCAACTCATTCATCGCCAAAACCTATTTCAACTAATGATACTGCAGGGCATACCGGTAAATGGCCCAATGAAATTGAAGAGGGACACCAACCATTTTCAGTATACTGTCACATTTACTGTCAGGTGAAGGGACCAGGAATTCACGTGCAGTGACATACATGTACCAGCATGTTCCGACGCAGAACCAAAACCAGCAACAGACACCGATAAACTCATATTATCTCCAATCCCTGTAATATCTCCCTCAATGGCCCTTTCAATTATTTCCCACTGCCGACCCATCGAGCGGCATCAATATTTAACCGCCTCTCATCACCGGCATTCAGCCGGCTACGGAGACTGGCTACGACTCACTCACCAAGGTCAGTAAACACCCACAAAGGGAGGGGGGGAGAGCCATTAGTGTCCCGCCGATGAAAAGTTCCCGGCTTTGACAGATGACCCGTCCAAGGGTTGTACGGGTACAGTATCCTGTGTATTTTCACCGAGACACGCGCAGGCAGGAGGTGACTGCAAGAGGGGACCCAAGTATGCTACTGCAGCTTGTGTCAACCAACCTCGGGCGGTACATGTATGTGAGCGCGCGGGGCTCGAATTTCAAGAAAAACCACCTGCCATACCACAGGGCTGGTACGTGCAAAGCTGAACTTGGAAATCTAAGATTAATTAAAACTTGGTGGGGGGGGGAGAGGAGGGGAGGGGGTAAAAAAAAAGACATTCGCTATAAATGACAGAATCACTCAGCCACGTAAGCATTCGACTGCAGATGACACGGATCAGCTGTGACAGTGGGATGCAGCCCCACCCACGATCAGCACCGAATGTCGGGTGAGAATAGATTTGTCATACTGGAATAGAAGTGAAACTGTGCTCACGATGACAGACTCCGCCCTCTGACCGGGGCCAATTTCATAGAGCTGCTTAAGCACAAAATTTGCTTAAGAGTGAAAAAGCCTTGCTTGACAAATCAGGTTACCAGCCAAAACTCCACGTGACATTTGATGTATATTGTTTAGGAATGGTATTAGCATGATAATCCGATCACATAGATTTTGAGCAGCCTTTGTTTTTTATTTTTTCAAGCAAGATTTTTTGCGCTTAAGCAAAATTTTGTGCTTAAGCGGTTCTATGAAATTGGCCCCAGGATAACTGCGGAAGTCAGTGGACATTTTGTAGAGCTTCACTGACAGCATCAGTTTACAAGGGTAGGGGAGAAGGAACCCAACTCTTTGGTAAATATTAACCATCTATGGACATAGGATATGATGGGCTGGCAGCAAAATCCCCTTCTTCGACCTTCAGTATGAGACAAACACCTCTCTGAATAAGGTTCCGCATACAAAGTTACGAGCATTTTTTTTTCTTCCCTGGGTCAATATCCTCCATCGCAGGACAAACAGACGATGGGTAATCCATGACAGAAGAACGAGAACAGGGGGGAATCCCATTTGACGTTTCTGTTATGCAAGATGCGCAAGCTTTTTCATGAAAAAGGGGTTCACACCTCACACTCACTGAAAAGGCTCGCAAGATATTTTCGATTTGTACTCTCAGAGCGATCAATGGAGCGAGGCGAAACTGGGAAGCTTTGCCAGAAGAAACCAGGCCATTACGGGAGCGTATTCATCGTTGGGAAAACTTGGCTAGGAGTCAGGTTTCAACGGCACGAACCATGAACACGAATACAGCGAACGTACTATGAGGACTTTAAAGCTATCCCTCCGGCTCAATCTTAGTGATCAGATGATAGCGCGAGATGTTTGCATCCTTGTGGACCCTGTTGGGCACCACTGCCCCTTTGTAACCCTGCAGTTAAACACAGTTAGATCCGCCACTAGATTGTGGCTAAGACATTACAGTGTAGGACAGGCATACTTGGAAATCGTAGACGTGAACAAGTTTTTTTTCCACTTCACCTTGTTCCCCCACGCCCTCTCTTCCTGCGCTCCAACGAACATTCCTCTCTAGGCGGCGACCAACTAAAAACACATTATTTGCAGAAACCGAGAAATACGAGGCCAATCGATCCCAACTATACCCATTAGGTTGTTTTGACTGCCCTCCGTGGAGGGTTTACTCAAACAGGCACCCCCTGTCAAGAACAACAAGGAGCCGCCGAAACCTGTGTCACGGGAGGCGGGAGGAGGACACCCCTCAGCAAGAAAAAAACAGAAAACACTCGGAGAACACAGGCCCCAGCTTCCACAAAAAAACCAAAATCGCTGCAGCGACTTCCTGCATCAGCGATATGAATTTGACAAATTGAAGACACGTTCCTGCCATTTCAATTTTACAGAGTAACGCAAAGGTATACTAATAACTTGCATGTGCGTACCACCCTTCTGCCTCCCCCCTTTCTAATTTAGACCCGGTTTACATTGAAACTTAAATTCACTGTACCGTGGTATGCCACTCCGACAAATTGAAAGCATGCCTGCTGTACTGATTTTCAGAGCCAGTTTATGAAGACATGACCTTTTTTTATAACAACAGCACCAAAAAACCAGCCTGTGGAGTCTGATGTTTGTGCAGTGACGTGGAGAGCAATCATGTCCTCAATTTGTCTTGAAGCAGTCCGTCTGTGGGATTATTCTTCTGCACAATGAAAGACCCGGCAAGTCAGACTTCATTCGTCTGTACTTTCTCTCTATTTTTGCTGGTAGAACCTAAATTGCTGTCGGAGGAAAGACATGATCGAAAGTGCTTTCCCCGGTAACCAGTCAGCCAGGAATGCTGCTCTTCAATGTACTGATGTCATTACCAGACAGAACGGTTCAATGACATTTTTTTTTCTCTCGTGCCTGCTTGAGGATTGTGATTCGGTAATGTTTCAGTGAGCGCAGAATGAAGAAAGCTTTACTTTCAGATGTTGAGGTGATCACTACAGTGTGCATTTCTGCACCAAAGCTTTTGTGACTTTTGCTGTGAAAAGGGCATTTTTTCCAACTATGCACGGCACCATGGAAAATTGTTGAGACTTTTCACCTAAAGTTCCGCTTTTTATCCTTTATGCATTAAGTTTCAACCTTTCTGTCGGGAGATATTCATGTGTGAGAATAAATGCTCGGAAACAGCACGTCAGGCAGATGTGCATGCCCTGTACGTATACAAAGCGTGCGTGTGAGTGTTGCAGTTTTCAAATATGAGAGCCTCACTTTTCATTGTTACTTTTTGCTTCACGAGACAAAATAAAGCTTCCCGCATTTTCATCTCAAAAAACAAACAGTGCTTCATGTCTTTGGTTAGATGTTGGCTGCCAGTACATGTACCGGTACGTGACCCATTCAATGACAAAACATCCAAGCACCAAGTGCTTAATTTAATCAATCCAAAACCAAAAATTATTACAGTAAAGCTGGGGTCAGAAATCAGATCTGGTATCAGGATCGAGCAGGCGTTGAGTGAGCGGACGGCCCAGAGACATGGGGTCCGTCTCTCCCCGCCTCAATGCCTTCGGGACTGAGGGGTCTATTGGGTTAATGGGAAGAGCCTGTGGGGGTGGGGGGGGGAGGGAGAGGAGGCTGCAACAGCCAAAAGACTCCGTCTGCATGCCCGCTACCGGACAGATGCTATCAGCAACCCTCACTCATACAGGCTGCGGTGACACCTCAGTTTGATTTCCCACTGTTCATCGGGCCGGCTCGTCTGACATATCTCCTTCATCCCTGTCTCTTTTTTTCTCTTCCCCCAAAAGAAGAGGTTACTTGCTTCCAGCCAGCCATGTTGGGAACGTGAAGACACTGTTAACTGATTGGATCAGGAGGAATGTGGGTGACGACAGGGATACAATACTTGGACCAATCCAATGAATTAGCAGCTATCCAGGGCAAATTTTTCCGTTACTGAACTATCCCCGACCGTGAGACGCTGAAAGGGTAGGCATTCTTTCAGCGTCTTACATTAGAAAGTTAGCTGCGTACTGATTGAATTAAGACGAGCGTGGGCAACAGGGCTCACACGACGCAAGCAATCCTCCGACTGCTGACTTTTTTTTTCAGGGCACGTTGATTGTTACCTGCTCAGACAAACAGCAACATTATCCGCCGACCCAGAAATTTTTGCCCAGGCGGAGCGGCGGATTTGAATGATCCACCTTCTGTCACCAGCAAAACATTATGAGATTTATCAACGGGGCCGATTGGATTATGGTCCTGCGGTCCAGAACAAAGATTTGGCACAAGGAAAACAACTCAACCGCTGGAGTTTTTCAGGGCACATTTCGTGAGCAGTTTCGTCCCGACCCAGATAGGATGAGGTTTGCAGCTGAACGATCCAAAGATGCCGCCTTTCAACAGCAAACATTGCTCATGTGTGTTTTTTCCCCATTCATGGCCAAAATAAAGAGGGAAGGACAGCAAGGCTGTTCTGGAGAGAGTCAGGTCAGATCTTTTCGAGTGGAGCAAAGTGGTTACGCATGATCTGGCGTAATCGCTTGGCGTAAAAACAAGTGCATCTAGTGGAACTTGTGGTGTCCTAGCTTAAAGATTAAAGATGTTTATACAGTGTATTTGTAAGACATTTTATATGCAAGCTGTGGTTTCTAATGAGCATCTTTTCAATAAAATATGGATATGTTCCTTTTAAATTATGCTTGCCAAAAAAGCCATGGGAGGGGGGGGATTTCTGCCATTGCTATTCATCAGGTGTGGAGAGCCAATTCTTTCCACTTTGATGTGGCACTCTGCAGGTCGTGCAGTGGGCCAGTCGTGAGCAAGTGTGCAATGTAAAGGCGGCGGTGAAAAACAGAAATCAGCAAACAAAAGTTAGAAGAACTGTCGCTTTCTGTCTTTCAGATCTGGCAGGATTTATACACTCTACTGCAGAACAGACCAATCAGGATATGGATAATGCAGAATGGACCAAATCAGGCCAGAAAGAGTTTCCCAGTTGATGATAATGCCACAGTCACTCAGCCATCCAACGTCAAGCCACCTATCAGCAAAGTAAGTCATTCGGATGCTTCAGAGAGAGACAGACAGACAGACAGACAGACAGGCATTTGAGTAGAGCAAACTCTCCCTAGTAAATCGACAAATCACCCATGAAACGAACTATGAGGCTACCCGTCAAAAACTGCAGGTCAAATCTTGCATATCCTTTCCCTACACTTAGGAAGAGCAAAGAGAAAATCCTTTTGTCCTCACCTTCAACTGTTTGGTCTTGTCCTTCATGGTCTGCTGGTAGATTTGCAGTTGTTCTGCCACCTCGGGTCCAGGCTGTCTGGCCAGAATGTGTTTTAGTTCGATGTAGAGCTTCTCTTTCTCCTGTTTTCAAGATGAAAATAAATGTTGGATGATTTGGGGGGTTTCTTTGAATAATAAACAAACAGTGCATTCAGTTTCCAGACAGCGTTGGACTGATAAATAAACACTGGTTCATCTCCAAAGCAGTGGAGAAAAACTCTGGTCGCTGTCTTGTCATTTAGTACAGACGGAAAGCAAAGGTAACGGTATTAAAAAAAATTGGGGCCAGTGCCAAATGTAACTGCTAAAGCAGATGAAGATGATGATTAAGCCAATTCACATGTTAAGCAAAAGTCAATGGAGAACCAGTCACAAGCCACACACTTCCGAGTGCCATTGTAGAAGGTAACCAGCCTTTTCACTAAGCAAAATGCCTTTAGTACTCAGTTTGTTGGGTTTTTTTTTCAGTAGCACTGACCTGTATCAGGAGCTCCTTTTCCACCACCTCCTCGGTCTTCTGGATCAGCCGGCGCTGCAGTGTCTGGATCTTCTGGATCATCTCATAGGTGCTGGGGTCTGAGCCCTCCAGCTTGCGCCAGCGGTGGATATTCATGGGGTTCTCCAGCTCCTCCTCCAGGGCCTTGCAGCGCGTCCGCTCCCGCAGCAACTCCCGCTGGAGGTGGTAGACTTCTCGCCTGGTCGGGCAAGAGAGGGGGAAGGAGAGAGATCAATCATCTGCATTGATAAACTTTGACAATTCAATTTCTTATGCACTGGTGCTTTCCAGCATTGTAATCGAGTACTTCAGAGTTACATGTACATCAGTATTGTAGTCGAGTGCCTCAAAGGTACTCGGTCTTGTGGTCAAGTACTTTTAAGGTCAAATACTTCAAAAGTTCTTCTTGTATTTGAGTCCTTTAAAGGTACTTCAGATTTCAGTGGTCCAGTACTTCAAAGGTACTTCAGTCTTGTAGTCAAGTACATGTACTGGTACTTCAATAGTACTCCAGTGTTATAGTTGCGTACTTCAAAAGTAACAGTCTTGTCTTCAGTCTCAAGTTATAACTTATACTTTTACAGGTACAGGTACTTTGGCTACAGTGGGTTAACAATTTTACACGAATGCCTTTGTTACAGTTCACAGGAAGGCTTGTGTTATAAATTGTGACTGGGCTTCTTATGATGATGTACACTTCTCAAGACATTATCGAGTGACATTTCAGGAAGATTCTGGTCAGGATCCAAATGTCAAGGCCTAATAACTTTTTCATTTGTATCTTTCAGGTCACTGTAGCCAGCAAGCAGTTTTTATAGGTCCCAGGGCCCAGTGACATCCTCATATGTGGAGGTGAGTGGGAGAGTCCCCCCCCCTTGTACCTGAGGTCGTCCACGTTGGCCACGCTCTTGTTCAAGATGTTCTTCTCCCGCCGCAGCTTCTTGATCTCCAGCTTGAGGAGGCGGATGTCCTCTAGGCGCTGACGGTACTGCGTCTCGCCCTTAGCCAAGGTGGACTGCTGGATCTTGATCTTTTCGTACAGGAGGGCCAGCTCGTCGTTGCGCCGCACCAGCTGGGTGCCCAGGATGTCACGCTCGCTGATCACCTGGGGGAGGGAAGGGAGAATGTGGAGATGGAGGGTGGAGAGGGGTGAGAACAGACAAAATAGCAAATTTGATAATTCAGTCTAATAGCACCTGGGGCCAATTTCACAGAGTTGCTTAGGCGCGAAAAAACCTTACTTGATAAATCAGGTAAGCAGCCTAAACTCCATGTGATGTATATTGTTTTGGGATTGTATTTAGCTGTTTTGGGGGTTAGCATGACAATCAGAAAGAGTTTGAGCTGGTAACCTTTGTTTATTAAGCAAAGTTTTTTCCCGCTTAAGCACTTTTTGTGTTTAAGCAGCTCTATCAAATTAGCCCCTATTCTACTTTATCTTTAATTCGTTGGTCAATCCGGCCAAACCACAGAGTGCTGGGAACATTTTGAGTAGACACAGGGAGTAACAGGCATGGCAGTTTTAGCGGCACAATGACCAATGGGGTCAAAGACACCACGTCATGGGTTGTAATCATGTCATCAAGCTGTCACCGCGGTGGCTCAGGAAAAGTCTCTGAACAACCTTGGCAAAGACTCTTGCACATCTTTTGTGATATAAATATGACGCACATGAAAATTCAATACAGGCGATTCACAATAGTGCCCCCTTAAGAGTTTGCAACACGTTGACCAATCACAGTGCGCAAAATCTGTCGACCCTTTCCAAACCCGCACACTGGGTCGACAGATTTTGCACACTGTGATTGATCAATGCATTACAAGCTCTTGCAGGCGCACTATTACGAAACACCTGCATTGCAAGAAGAGCGGTGCACAGCATCCGGCAATGACAAATTTCGTATATAGCCTGCTGTGTACAGAACAAAGGAATGAAAACACAAGGAGTCGTCCAAATGGACACATTCTCAATGGAAGTGTACCGGACTGAATCAATTCCCAATTCTATCTTATCCAATGCAAAAGCTAAATCCTCTTGCTATTGTTCCCACAATCAACTGACAATGGATTACATCCCCCAAAATTTCACAGCCCACTGATCTGTAAAAACTAAGATACCAGTTTAAGCAACAGAGCCATGGGATACTTAGGTTATTTCAGAACCGTCCCTCAACCCTAACAGCCCCGAATACTACAAAGTACTACTTAGTAGTAAAAAATAGTATTCACTGCTGTCACTTGTAAGAGGACATTACCTTTCTGTTCTCTGAAGCCATAAAATACAATAGATAAGACATTGTACCATACAGTGCTCAGGCACTATGAAGGCGGGACTTTATTGTTCTCTGTACTAGTGACAATGGAGGGTGCTCTAGCCAGAAGTACATGTAATAATCTGTAGCGCTAGGTCCTTCAGGCTCAGACTACTGCTTAGTATTTTGTAGTACTGAGTACAGCAAGCCAAATTTTAGGCAGAACTACTAAGGTTAAAAATGTGATTTTCAGTAGGCAACGGTCGCTATTCACATCCTTTATTTGTCTGCACATTTTAACAAACATGTAAATAACCACAAACGCATGGTCAGAAGTATTGTCTAGAGACTACAAAAATGCGAGATCCATGTACCACGGCAAGAAAATCACACGGTTCATGTGAACATCTGCCGAGTTCATAGCAATGGAGCTAATCATTACAGGAGAAACCAACTAGGTACTTCAGGTGTCAGCGTGTGTGTGCAGTATAAAGTGTTCTCGATAGTCTTCACGTTACCAGCCTCTGTCGGGCGTAATGCAGTCAAATATCGATGAACTCAACCAGCCGGGGCCGAGTATTTGCTCAACCCTCGGCTGCAACTTCATCCCCCCCAAACACTGGCCAGTTAGATGCGTCACTTGATAACAAACTGGACTCTGGCCCTGCACGTGTCCCGTAACGCTCTCATTGAAGGGGACACGTGGGGCAGTGGATAGGGTTCCTTCCGACGGCAGGGTTGAGGTTTCCAATCCCAAAAGGCGGTTTACATGTCATGATCTTGGGCATGTCACTTCAACTGTACGTGTGTGTGCCTCTCTCCACTCAGGAGTATTTAGAATGGGTGCCTGTGAGGGCAGACGTGGTGATTGCGTTATTGCCGTTTGTGTCTGACATACATCATGTACATGTAGCAGCATCAGCTAGCATACTCCCCAGGGAGCTGAGAATGCTCTCACAACGTTCAGATGTTGTGAGCCCAATGAGCAAAGATGATGATAATGTATGGGCACTTTTGGATAACAGGTGCTGTTAGACGCTGTTCAGCGTACAAATGTTGAGGTGTTATTATTATTAGAAGACTTGGGATTGGCTACAGGTCTTCCCTTTTTTAAAATTCCTTCTTTTTGGGTAAGTCAAGAGCGGTTATCTTATTGACTCAAGATTTGATCATCACAATAGCCAGACTCCAAGCAAAACAATGTCAATGGGCTTCTGTCCGGTAAAATCAACTTCTAGAAGTGTCGCATGAGGAGAACAGGGCTGGTTGAAAGGAAACTTGTCCTTTCAATTTTGAAGAAAACAACACAGTGGAGAGCACAAAAAAAAAAAGCGCGGAGGCAAGACATAAAAGGCAACTATGTAGACAATGCAGACAGGATGCACGGCTCGTGTTTGCACAGCTCTGTGAAAACACTTTGAGGGAGCTGACCAAAATGGAGACTTAATCATGTGTGTATATGGTCGGTTTACCCAGGGAAGGGGGGGGGTTGTTCCTCTGTGAAGCAACACTTTCTTTTTCCTGTACCCTGGATAAATTACCGATTTGCACGAGCGCCTTTAATTAAGAATAATGCCTACCCTGGAAACCTGTTGCTGTTACACTTCCCTGGGAAGGGCAACAAATGGCGAAAAGACCTCACATGTAAGTTCTTTCACACTCTTCCAAGTTGCACTTTGCATATATTGATTTCATGCACACTGATGTATTAATTACACTCCTTTGCCCGGGGTATGCACAAACGTGTTAACTTGACCCAGCACACATCAAGAATTATTCATCAAAGTCAAATGAAAAAATTCAAATTCCCAGGCAAATAACAACACAGGTCCTTCACAGTTTCAAGCAACACAGAAAAAATCAAGCGATATATGGTGTATTACTGAAGTCAATTTGCAACAAATCATTCCAACATGTGCCAATTGCTGATTTGTGAGTTGGGAACAAAGACCACCAGCACATAAAGCCTTTTGCGGGGATTGCACTCCATCTGCTCCTCCAGCTCGGATTTACCGCAGCTACCAAGTTTCTAATCCTGCAGATCAGCGCATGTTGTATTAATGGTCAGCAACGATAGACGGCTTTACTCTCTGATTTGGCCCGGGAAATTACATGGTTCTCATGGGTACCACGTGCAGGGCATTGACTTTTGAGATGATCTGGAGCGGTCCACGTGTAAAACGAAGCTCTGAAGCCAATAGCGCAGTGCGTGAAAGTTTCACTGGTTTGTACAGACATAGCGGGCAACCCTGGCATAAGAGAATGGCAGCACAGACAAATACTGTGGCAGGACAGATTCATCTTCATGCCTCCAAGCTATCGATGACATTAGGTAAGCTCCAGCACTTGACTTACGTAAATTCTTGATGGCAATCATTCCAACGACTGCGGTAACCGCTGCTCTGTCAAACTGAAGCAAGCATGGAATTCTGGCATTCTCCGTGATTAAAATATTGCACGCAATCTTTCCTTATGGCCATCAGAGTTGGTGTACATGTATCAATAGCGGGTCATTGACATATCTAAGTCTGAAAACAAGTTAGTATGCAGGGAGCTGAAACAATAAGAGTAAAATTGCTTGAACTGGCAGTTTATGACCAATTATATTGTTATTTGTCTGAAAATGATATTCTTGGTCCAAATCAATCCAGTTTTAGGCCAAGACACTCTACTGTGACTGCATTTTTTAATCTTTGGTCAAAGAATCTTGATGATGGGAAATTAACAGGTGTTGCTTTTATAGATCTTAAAAAAGCATTTGACGCGATCGATCACTCCATTCTCCTGAGAGAAATAAAACCTCATTGGATGCTCTGATACATGTGGCACAATTACTTCATGTACTTGGTTTAATTCATATTTGACTGATCGAACACAGAGAGTGTGCATCCCGGGATTAGACAAATCTGATTAGACACCATTCCAAGGGGCCATTTACACCCACGTAGCTGTGTCAACCTGAACGCCCCTGCGCGCACACTTCAATAACTGACTACTGCCTATTGGTCTAAGAGGAATTTCACGTGCTCACAGCGCCTAAGTGCAAACAGGATGGCCCTCTAGCAATGACCTCTGGTGTTGGTCATCGAATGTGTCCGTACTCTGATACTTCAAATGTGTCAATGGGAGAGCCTCAGGGCTCTGTTTCAGGGCCACTGTTGCTCTCAATCTATGTAAACAACACGCCCACACCAAGTAGCAATGGTCTAAATTGATATGTACGCAGATGATATGACACTGACTGTGAGTGGTACAAATGCTGATGAAATCCACGAAAAGCTGTCATTTGCCATGTCAGAAGTTACGAGTTGGATTGAAAAAGACCGGCTTGTACTTAAATCTTGATAAAACAAATGTGATGGTTATCGGGTCTAAAGGTAAACTGAGTAAAATCTAACAGAACAGTGAACGGGAAAAGACTAAAACGGGTTCACGTTGCAAAGTGCCTTGGGCCACTTATTGATGACCGGCCATGCTGGAACGTACACATTGAAAAGGTTATCAGCACGATACAAGCTACCGGTAAACTGTCTAAGACCTGTGGTCCCCGTTGAGTGCACAAAGATAACACCTTCATACTGCGGCATGCTGCCCCATTTATGTTCTCAAATTTGGGCTGAGCGGTTTAGTATACATACTTCCAAGCTAATGAAATTACAAAAACGAGCAGCTAGGATAACTTTAAATAGAGACTTCTCTGCGAATCCTACTGATGTGATCAACAAACTGAACTGGCTATCCCTACCAAACTGCTTTGGACATCCGTAATAGGGCAGTATTAATGTATAAATGCACTCATCATCTGGCACTCGATTACCTTGCTCAACCTTCAACTGTAATTAGTCACGTCCGT